TTTCAGCTGAGCAGGGTAGTCTCACCAACACCTCCAAGTTGTTGGGTTTTGCAGGATCAGCACCTGGACCCTGGTTGTCCTCAGACAGAGTGTTCAGATTCGTTCTCGTTCTGTCCCACGGATATAGCTTCTTCCCCGGGTGTTGTGGTTAGAGGCGTCCCTGTTCCAAGCTGCGTCTGCTTGTCTCTCTTGCTGGGCCTGTCTACCTCTGTGGTCCGCTGCCGGGCCTGTATGTTCCTGTCAGCTACCGCTGGGTCTGTCTGTCTCCGCGGGCTGCTGCTGGGCCTGTATGTCTCTGCTGGCTGCTGCCACGGGCCTACCTACCTCTGCTTGTCATTGCCGCTGGGCCCATCTACCTCTGCGGGCCACCACTGGGCCTGTATGTCTCAGCCAGCTGCTGCCGGTCCTGAATGTCCCTGTCGGCTCCTGCCGCCAGGCCTGTCTCCCTCTGCCGGCCACCGCTGGGCAGTCTACCTCTGTGGGCCGCCACCACAGGCCTACCTGCTAAATCTATCATTTTACATTACATTGTATATAAATTACATTTTAAGTAAAAAATTCTAGAGACAAAGGGAATGATTATTGTAACCATGATGATATATGTGTCTCTAAATACACTATGTTACACATATTAAAATCATCAAAATAAAAAACATACTGGGAATGTACAATCGTACAGTTGTTTAAGAAAAAAGCCTGGCCATTATTTATAAAATAAAACACGTACCTTTTGTGTAGCTAAACAGAGATATTCTGGGGAATTTACTCTTTCTGTTTTTGATGTTTTAATATAGCTTCTCCCTATGTAACCAGTACTGGGCCTCAAACTCACAGTCATCTTGTTTCAGTCTTCCTTCCCCCTCTTCTTTTTTTGATTATTTATTTATTTTAATTATTTATTTATTATTCGCTTACAGGGAATTATTTCATTCCACCAATTTTCAAACAAAATTGGGTTGTCCTTCTCTCCCATTCTTCCTGATTCTCCCCGCTTCCCACTAGGTAGTCCCCTTTCTGCTTTTGTGTCCTCTGTGCCCTTCTCCTGCTCCCTTTCCCAGCACATCCTATTCACCTCCCGTGCTCTTCTGTCTAGTCTCATAATCTGTTCCCACTCCCATAACTCCTTAGTTACATACACACCAACATTTAAAGTTGGGCTATGCATATGAGAGAGAACATTAATCTTTCTGAGCCCTGAAATTTTCATAATTTAATGTTTCTTAACATCTGGGTAAAATTCTATTGTGTACTGGGCCACATTTTCATTATCCATTCACCTGATCATGATCATCTGGTGATGAACATCTAGGCTGGTTCCATTTTCTTTCTATTGTGAATACTTTAGCAATAAAAATGAATGTGCAAATATCTGTGGTAGGACATAGAGTCCTTTGCATATATGCCCAGGAGTAGTATAGCTGGGCCATGTAATAGCCATATTTTTAATTTTTTGAGGAAATGCCACCCAGGTTTCCATAGTGTTTGCCTCTGCTTCCTGAGTGCTGGTATTACAGATATGTGTTGCCACTTCCCCTAGGCATTCATTCTAGAAGCAGGAAGACTTATGCCCTCTGAAAAACTGTTATATGAAGGTTCAGTACATCTTCATTCATGACATCTTCAAAATGAAAATAACCTAAATATATTTCAACAGATGACTAGGTAAAACAGCTTGTGATAATTCATAAATGCAACATTGCTGTGGGATGGTCTGTATGTCAAATTACTCTGATTGGTCAATAAATGAAACACTGATTGGCCAGTGGCCAGGCAGGAAGTATAGGCGGGACTAACAGAGAGGAGAAAAGAAAGAACAGGAAGGCGGAAGGAGTCACTGCCAGCCGCCGCCCTGACAAGCAGCATGTGAAGACACGAGCCATGTGGCAAGGTATAGATTTGTGGAAATGGATTAATTTAAGCTATAAGAACAGTTAACATGAAGCCTGTCACGGCCATACAGTTTGTAAGCAATATTTGTTTGCTTAATAAAGTTTAAATAAAGACAAAAATAAAGTTTGTTAACAATAAGTCTCTGTGTTCACTTGGTTGGGTCTGAGCAGCTGTTGGACTGGCGGTTGAGAGAGATTTGTCCTGACTGTGGGCAAAGCAGGAAAACTCTAGCAACACAACATTATTCAGCAATAATAAAGGTGAAACAGCAATTAAGTGAATTTCAGTGGTGTTATGCTGAATGAAAAAAAATCCAATTTCAAAATGTCTATAATTCCTTTACATAACATTGTCTACATGACAAACTTATACAGATAGAGCACAAATGCTTATTTCCAGGGATCAAGGAGGTTTTTAATAATATGGGTAGTAAGAGATTGTTTGAGAGGTTAAAATACTTCTGTGTACTGATTCTGATGATGTCTGCATGAACTGAAACCTGATAAAATTGAATAGAATTATACAACAGGAAAAAAAACAATGATGCATACAAGTAAAAGGTGGTTAGATCTAAAGCAGGCTTGTCCCATGTCCATGATTTGATAAATTTGTGGCTACATGAAATGTTGTCATTGAGGAAATCTGGGTAAATGGACTTCTATTTTTAAAAATTTAATTGTGTCATTTTAAGTTATTTAAAAAGACATAGTTTAAAGAGTTAACAAAGATGTCACTCACATGCATTTTTAATTTACTTAACGTCTACTGGGATTGCACACTTTTGGATCATGAGCTAGATTTGTGGGCTAACAAAATGTTGACCCACACTATTTTCAATCCACTTTTTTTTTTTTTTGGTTTTCAAGACAGGTTTCTCTGTGTAGTTTTGGTACCTGTCCTGGATCTTGCTCTGTAGACCAGGGTGGCCTCCAACCCACAGAGATCCGCCTGGCTCTGCCTCCCGAGTGCTGGGATTAAATGTGTGTGCCACCACTGCCCAGCTCAATCCACTTTTTGACCATACCTATAGGGTGTGAAAAATTAAAATATGGTGAGCATGGATTTTAGACTTTATGGGTTGGAACTGGGGATATATAATCTTAAGAAGTTGATTAAACATGGAAAGGGTATTTGTGAAAGAGAAATAGGAGAAAGCAATGGAGGGTGGGCACAGTGAAAATAAGTGATATATTTAAAGAAAAACAGCATTATGAAACCCATTGTTTTGTTTAATAAGTATACACTGATAAAACATTTCTTAAGAAATTCTGACACAGCTTTAACAGATCCACATGGTAAATGAAATTCTCAGGACTTGCCAAGTACTGGCAGGAATTGAAATGACTGCTAAGGCTGTGATTTTTTTTAAAGAGATCTGGTCCCTTATGAAACAAACATGTATAAGGTAAACTATTTTTCAAGTCAATCAGTAGGTACAATAGTCAAAATCAGGTCTCTTAGGAGATAGAACATTCCATCTGTGTCTTTTAGTTGTCATGGAGACAGGCACAACAAAGCAATAGCAAAGCTGGTCTCCTAAGGATGTCTGCTGACGGTATACCTAGATAAGACCGGAAAGACCTGGTGGAGATCTCAATTAAATGGGTATGTATATAAAGTGGGTCATTTAAAAACCAGGGATTCTGATTTTATAGCTCCAATGGTTTAGACTTGGCTAATTTCCCTGGATCAGTCTAGTCCTCCTCCTCAGATCTGGTGTTGTCCACAGTCTAATTCATGTCCACCCTTAATAACAAGTGGTTTTCCCCTTTTAAATGATCAAGTTATTGACAATTGTCTTCCTTCTGTTTATCACCAGTACCAATGTTAGTTAATGTTTAATTACTCATCTATATCATCTATATTACTAACTAAACTCTTACATCTCTAAACTATTTCCTGCCTTCACCTTGGTACCTCACTAAAACTTAAGATACACAGTAAATTGTATTCTTTGCCTAATAAATTAATAATTCTAAAAGGATTCCAGTATGAAATTCAGATTCCTGTAGTAGCATGGCACTTGAGTTTCTTTCTAGCCATGTCTTTAACCCTTATCAGGACACACAAAGACCATAGGAATACTCAGAGAATCGCTTATATAGACAGAAATAAATATTGATCTGTGTGTGTTGGTTACTACTCAAATACAAATCAGAAATTAAGATCTGTGTGGTGATTTCTCTAAGCTAATTTTCACAAAGATATGCATTTTAAAGTATCATTTAATTTTTAATCTGACAGGAGATTGAAGTAGTCTGGCCTAGATTTTCTTTCTTCCACTTCCCTGGTAAACAAACCATTTTCTGTGATTTCAAGACTTGATTTTGAACAAATTAGCAACTAAGAAACAATAGTGAGTTGGGTATTTCATGGGTGAGAATGCTAAGCCAAAAACACATGTAACATTCAATTCTATTTGCAACTCTGATTGGGTTCAAATTTCTATTTCCTCAGATTCCTTCGATACATCAACTCCTCTCCTCTGCCCCGCTTCCAATTCGGCAATGGAAGAGTCAGCGTCTAAGTTGACAGAAGCCATTCAGAAGCCCGCAGTTGTACTGAAAGATGAGCTCAAAAATAGCAATCTGTCCAAGCCGTTAGAGAAGTCAAAGTCCTGCAAGAGAGTTGAGTGGTCAAGTGACACTGTTGACAATGAGCACTTGGGCCGTCGCTCATCCAAATGCTGTGTTTATGAGAAGCCACGTGCCTTTGGTGAGAGCTCATCAGAAAGTGAAAATGAAGATGATGACAATGGTGATGTACTCTGTGGCCAGGGTCATCAAAAGGGAAGACGCCGTGTTCTTTCAAGTACTGTTGCTAGTACTTCATCTCCCAAGCCTAAAGATCCATCTGAGTCCCTTCCTTCCCCCCATTAATGGCTAAGCCTCATTTTGCTTCTCCTATCCCTGAACTAGACTGAACCACAGTATGTCCATGTTGGTACTCAGGGATTAAATGCTTTTTGACTCTTTTGTGCACATATGTGTGTAGTATGTTTAATCTTTGCCCAATGGGGGAAAAAAGTAATAAGGAAGGCAGAGGGTGAAACATGGATCATACAGGGTATTTGTAAGCCCTGGTATGGCATAGTTGCTTGTTAACCATACAGGAATCTAGGTTTTCCAAGACACATCTGCTTACTTTTTTGTCCTCAATTACCTGGACTATCTGTACCTATCTCCTCCTGGTTAGCCCATGGTCATCACATCAAACTCCACAATTTCTCCAAGTCATTACCTTGCCCACACTATATTAGTTACTTTCTTCATAGTTGTGTCAAAATAACTGACAAGAATCAATTGAAAGAGATCATTTTGGCTGACAGTTCTAGGGAATACATTCCATCATAGCAGGGAAAATATGGCAACAGAAATGGAAGAAACAGCTGGGCAGTGGTGGGGCACATCTTTAATCCTAGCACTTGGGAGGCAGAGGCAGGGGATTTCTGTGAGTTCAAGGCCAGCCTAGTCTACAAAAGCGAGTTCCAGGACAGCAGATAGTTAGGTCTATGCAGTGAAACCTTGTCTCCAAAAACAAACAAACAAACAAAACAAGAAATGGACGAAACAGGAAACTATCTGGTCACATTGCATCTGCATTTACGAAGCAACAGGAGATGAACTGTGATACTCAGTTTGCTTTCTCTTTTTCATTCAGCAAAGCAGTTAGAATAGGCCTCCCATCTCCATTAACCAAATCAATTAAATCCTCACAGACATGGCCAGAGATTTGTCCTCTCAATACTTTTAGATCCTGTCAAATTAGAAATCAATATAGACTATCAAAAATCTATCCCTTGTCAACCTGTCACACAAATATGTTACTTAAAGGTATGATTAGTATGTGTTTTTGTGTGTTTTTCTTTCATGTGTGCCTGTGCACCTCGCACATGCAGTGCCCATGTAGGCCAGAAAAGGACATCAGATTTCCTAGAACTGCAGTTACAGACAGTTGTGAACTGCCATTTGGATGCTAGGAATCGAACCTGGGTCCTCTAGAAGAGAAGCTAATGCTTTTACCTCTGTTCCCCTAAGCTCCTGGCTGTCTCTCATAATATAGAATGCATTCAGAGTCACTTCAAAAGTTCTCATATTCTTCAGCAGTTCCAACATTATTTTAAAATTCCAAGTCCATGTCTCATTTGAGATGCAAGGCAATCTCTTAACTATAACTTTCTATTAAAAAGGGAGGGAGCAATAAGATGGCTCGGTGAGTAAAGGCAATTGCTGTCATACCTGACAGTCTGGGTTTCATCTTGTGAACCACATGGTGGAAGGAGAGAACTGACTCTCGATTTCTGCAAGTTGTCCTCCAACCTCCACAAACAGTGTGTGTGTGTGTGTGTGTGTGTGTGTGTGTGTGTGTGTGTGTGTGTGTGTGTTTGTGCATGTACATGTACATACACAAAAGCGAAACAAAACAAATCAATGTAAATTAAAAACAAATAAAATAAAAATGGCTTGCTTCAGGAATACAGTGCCATAGAACAAACGTTCCCATTCCAAAGGGAAGAATGCTTACATAGCAAGGAATGATGCCACCAAACCAAGACAGAAACTCAGTAGGGCAGACCTCAAATCCTGCAGCTCTGTGTTGGCTAGCTGGGGCTCCCGATGAAATCATGTGCATTAGAACGGACTTACTTAGGTAGCCCCACTCCCCTGCCTCTGCTTCTAAAAGCACACACAGCTTCTCTGTTGAGCCAGAGTCATTCTATGTCTGCAGCTTTCCTTGGTACCTATCCCATGGCTTTGACATCTCCAACATCCTAGGCTCTCCATTGTCACACACGTTTTATCTTCACAGCTCCATACAATGGCCTCACAGCACCTTCTTCGGGACTCCAACCCTTTCACACATTGTCTGGCCTCAGCAGCTCTTTGGAATCATGGTGCAAGACTCCATGACCCCCTCAGAGTTTCCATCTGTCATACACACCCAACCAGAACCACACGGCCAACACTGCCAGGTTTAGCTGCCATCTCTAGATGGAGCCTGGACCCTGGGAGCTCCAGTCACATCAGCCCCTGTGTACTGATCTTAGGGCACCTCTTTCCCAAGGAGTAACTGTTTCAAGCGAGGAATTCTTTCACTAGCCTTCTCAGTTTAGGTGCTGCTTTTACACATGAATTCTCAGTTTTGTAAGTCAGAGCCTCTGATGGGTGGGTTCTTGATAGGGCATCTTATTGTACTACCACAGAGGAAGAGGTTTCTCTTTGACATAAAGCCTCTTCTTGAGTATCTGTGACTTTAAACATGTTCAATAAAGGACTTTTCCTTGATAATCCACATTTCTTCTATCTTTGTGGACCACTTGTGGTGTTTTTTGTTTTGTTTTGTTTTTGGTGGAGACCTTAATAAGAGTAGTGAACAATAACCATTCTATGCTGTTCTGTCTTGGTATATTTCCTCTGCCAAACAGATTAGTCCAGTATTGCTGTATTCAGATTCACTGAAATTCTCAGGGCACGAACAAGATACAGACAGATTAATGGCATGAATGTCACACAAATGACTTCTAGATTCTCTTGTTCTCAATATAGCCTTTGATCCCTTCTGAAGTCTCATGAGCTATGCCTCCACTGTCAGTATTTCTTCTGGACTTCTGGTCTTTGAAACTCCTACCAGAACAGACCATTAAGGACTACTTATAGCACTTGAGTGATTTTTCTAATCCAAAGTCCCAAACTCTCCCATGTTCCACGTCATAAGGTTCATCACAGCAGCAAACCTATTTCTGTATACCAGTTTTCTATATTAGTAATTTTCTTATTGCTGTGACAAGCAGCAATTTAAGGGAGGAAGGTTTTATTATAGCTTTCAGTTTAAATGGATAGATTCCTTCATGACAGGGAAGAGATGGCAGTATGCAGGGAAGGAACAAGAAACCAGTTTGCAATATGGCATCTGCAGTCAGGAAGCAAAGAGAAATGAATACTGATACTTCGCTTCCTGTTTATTTAGTTGCAGTTAGGATCTCATCTCCGTTAATCTCATCTAGAAAGTTCTTCACAGATATGTCCAAACATTTGTCCCCAAGGTGAATCTAGATCCTGTCACTTTTACAATCAATGAGTCATCATACTTATTGTATAGGAATGTCAGTTTATTATTTAGAATCAATTGGGACCTTTGTAGTTCTACCTAATTTATCTACTCCACTTTATTCTTGCTTTTATTAAGAGTAAAACTAATATCCTTATAAATGGGATTTTGTGAAACAATATCTATGTCCATTCTCATTCTGCAGCCCACTTTCATAGTCAGAACTTAGCTGGGTTAGTACTGCTCTACCTTTTAAGATTTATGAGAATAGATGTTATATTTTCAAATGTCTAACATTTAACTTGTCTCATCATCACTCAAAAAAGATCCTGTAACCTTATACACACTTACAGTTTCACAAATCTATACTGATCTCTCATCTACTAGCTTCCTATATTTATCTCGATTTCCACTCAAACCTGTCCTTTCAACAACACTTTTTGAGCCCTCCTACTTCCTCGTATTTTTGTTCAAATTCCTTGCCAATTTCTTGGCATTCTATGCCACTTATAGACTCAGTTGAAATGTTTGTAAATTTTAGGGAAGAAATGTCAAAGAAGCATCAGGAGATTATTAGAAAATAAAATGGTATCTTGAATTCAGCACTGACTCCCAGGATTTATTTGTGAAAATTTATGAATCATTAAAAACGCCAAATCCTCATTTCTTTAAATATCTTCTGTGTCATTCTATTTGCTCTATAATTCTGAGATTCCAATTTACACTCATGTTATGCCTGCTTCTGTCTCTAATATTCTTACATATATGTAATACTCCTCTTAAATTTTCCCATTCACCAATTATTTTCAAACATACTTAATGAACTATTAAATTAATCCATTTAACTTTTTTGCCCTTTTTATTTTATTTTATTTTACAATACAATTCAGTTCTACATATCAGCCATGGATTCCCTTGTTCTCCCCGCTCCCGCCCCTCTCCCCCTCCCCCCAGCCTACCCCCCATTTAACTTTTTAATACTTTTCTGACATGTAAATTCAGTGTTTTTCCTATTGGTTATATACCTTATTATGTTTTAAATTCTTTGCTGAATTCAAGGTTTGGAATTTATTTCATTGTACATACTAACTATTGTTATCTTATAACTTAGTCTAACAATATTTTATGATCTTTGTACATTTATTTTTTGTAATATTTTTATTTATTCTTTTAAAATTTTTATATATGTATCATATTTATATCCATTTCCCTACTGCTCCCTTGTAACTCTTTCAGTGATTCCCCCAACCTATCTCCTTCTCAAATTCATGTCTTCTATTTTATATTTATAATCCACTGAAGCCAATTAGTGCTGCCCATATGTGGGTAGGTTGAGGTTATCTTTGGGGCATGGGCAGCCTACCAATGACCACACATCCCCCCAAACTCAAAGAAAAGTGATCTTCTCTGTTGTGGAATATTAGTTAAAATGTGATACATTTATTTATGCTATGGAACATTTGTTTAATGATGCAAAGACGTATTGCATTCTTTTATGTTGCATTTGTTTAACTCTGGGAAGCTGTGTTACTTTTCCTGTCTAAAAAACCTGTTGGATCTAATAAAGAACTGAATGGCAGTAGCAATGCAGGAGAAAGGATAGGCAGGGTTGGCAGGCAGAGAGAATACATAGGAGGAGAAAAAAGTGAGGATGGAGGGGCAGAAGGAGGAGGAAAGGAGAATGTCAGGGGCCAGCCACCCAGCTACACAGCAAGGCACAGAGTAAGAAGTAAAGAAAGGTATGCAGAATAGCAAAAGATAAAAGCCCAGAGGCAAAAGGTAGATGGGATAATTTAAGAAAAGCTGGCTAGAAATAATCTAAGCTAAAGCCAGGCATTTATAAGTAATAATAAGTCACCACCCAGCTATCTTTGGGAGCTGGGTGGTGGGCCCCCAAAGAGCAAAGAGTAAAGAGTAAAACAAACAAACAAAC